GAATTCCTATTTACCTGAATAATTGAATATGTCGTTGAGTTCTGCACATCCCCATATTTGCGAATTAGCACCTGGTGAATTTATTCTTGAAATAGTTGCATGTTTAGCTGTGACAGGTGTAGCAGTTCAATTTTGCGAACACACAATTATTGCGTCGCCATACGACCACGATGTGACTCGGACCGCAATTATGTGATTCGATGTCACATGCCTTATTCATTGGTATTTTATGTAATAGTGTTTTGCGTTTTTTTATAGTGCCACAAGGTGTTTTATGTCTAGATCTTAAAATTCCTGTCTAATTGACTGAGTCATCTGATCCAGCACATCAATGTTATCTCTTTAATTTCGCAAATTATTATCCGCTAACAGTATTCACGACGTATTTTTTTATTGAGTGCAGCTGGTGTTCTTGTGCAATCTTGCAGAAAACTAAATCGCAGCAGCCTATACGACCCCGACGGGACTCGAACCCGCAATCTTCTAATTCGAAGTCAGACGCCTTATCCATTAGGCCACGGAGTCTTAAGTACATCTTCATCCTGTGCCATCTAATTTTTTTACGAATTCCTATTTACCTGGATAATTGAATAAGTCGTTGGGTACTGCATATCCCCATATTTGCGAAATTGCACCTGCTAAATTTATTCTTGAAATAGTTGCATGTTTGGCTGTGACAGGTGTAGCAGTTCAATTTTGCAGAACACACAATTATTGCGTCGCCATACGACCACGATGTGACTCGGACCGCAATTATGTGATTCGATGTCACATGCCTTAATCATTGGTATTTTATGTAATAGTATTTTGCGTTTTTTTTTATAGTGCCACAAGCTGTTTTATATGTCTAGATCCTAAAATTCCTGTCTAATTGACTGACTCATCTGATCCAGCAGATCAATGGTATCTCTTTAATTTCGCAAATTCTTATCCGCTAACAGTATTCACGACGTGTTTTTTTATTGAGTGCAGCTGATGTTCTTGTGCAATCTTGCAGAAAACTAAATCGTAGCAGCCAATACGACCCCGACGGGACTCGAATCCGAAATCTTATGATTTGAAGTCAGACGCCTTATCCATTAGGCCACGGAGTATTAAGTACATCTTCATCCTGTGCCATCTATTTTTTTTTTACGAATTCCTATTTACCTGGATAATTGAATATGTCGTTGGGTTCTGCACATCCCCATATTTGCGAATTAGCATCTGGTGAATTTATTCTTGAAATAGTTGCATGTTTGGCTGTGACAGGTGTAGCAGTTCAATTTTGCAGAACACACAATTATTGCGTCGCCATACGACCACGATGTGACTCGGACCGCAATTATGTGATTCGATGTCACATGCCTTAATCATTGGTATTTTATGTAATAGTGTTTTGCGTTTTTTTATAGTGCCACAAGGTTTTTTATGTCTAGATCCTAAAATTCCTGTCTAATTGACTGCCTCATCTGATCCAGCACATCAATGTTATCTCTTTAATTTCGCAAATTCTTATCCGCTAACAGTATTCACGACGTATTTTTTTATTGAGTGCAGCTGATGTTCTTGTGCAATCTTGCAGAAAACTAAATCGTAGCAGCCAATACGACCCCGACGGGACTCGAATCCAAAATCTTCTGATTTGAAGTCAGACGCCTTATCCATTAGGCCACGGAGTATTAAGTACATCTTCATCCTGTGCCATCTATTTTTTTTTTACGAATTCCTATTTACCTGGATAATTGAATATGTCGTTGGGTTCTGCACATCCCCATATTTGCGAATTAGCATCTGGTGAATTTATTCTTGAAATAGTTGCATGTTTGGCTGTGACAGGTGTAGCAGTTCAATTTTGCAGAACACACAATTATTGCGTCGCCATACGACCACGATGTGACTCGGACCGCAATTATGTGATTCGATGTCACATGCCTTAATCATTGGTATTTTATGTAATAGTGTTTTGCGTTTTTTTATAGTGCCACAAGGTGTTTTATGTCTAGATCCTAAAATTCCTGTCTAATTGACTGCCTCATCTGATCCAGCACATCAATGTTATCTCTTTAATTTCGCAAATTCTTATCCGCTAACAGTATTTACGACGTATTTTTTTATTGAGTGCAGCTGGTGTTCTTGTGCAATCTTGCAGAAAACTAAATCGTAGCAGCCAATACGACCCCGACAGGACTTGAACCCGCAATCTTCTGATTCGAAGTCAGACGCCTTATCCATTAGGCCACGGAGTCTTAAGTACATCTTCATACTGTGCCATCTAATTTTTTTTACGAATTCCTATTTACCTGGATAATTGAATATGTCGTTGGGTTCTGCACATCCCCATATTTGCGAATTAGCACCTGGTGAATTTATTCTTGAAATAGTTGCATGTTTGGCTGTGACAGGTGTAGCAGTTCAATTTTGCAGAACACACAATTATTGCGTCGCCATACGACCACGATGTGACTCGGACCGCAATTATGTGATTCGATGTCACATGCTTTATTCATTGGTATTTTATGTAATAGTGTTTTGCGTTTTTTTATAGTGCCACAAGGTGTTTTATGTCTAGATCCTAAAATTCCTGTCTAATTGACAGACTCAACTGATCCAGCACATCAATGTTATCTCTTTAATTTCGCAAATTCTTATCAGCTAACAGTATTTACGACGTATTTTTTTATTGAGTGCAGCTGGTGTTCTTGTGCAATCTTGCAGAAAACTAAATCGTAGCAGCCCATACGACCCCGACGGGACTCGAACCCGAAATCTTCTGATTCGAAGTCAGACGCCTTATCCATTAGGCCACGGAGTATTAAGTACATCTTCATCCTGTGCCATCTAATTTTTTTTACGAATTCCTATTTACCTGGATAATTGAATAAGTCGTTGGGTTCTGCACATCCCCATATTTGCGAATTTGCACCTGGTAAATTTATTTTTGAAATAGTTGCATGTTTGGCTGTGACAGGTGTAGCAGTTCAATGTTGCAGAACACACAATTATTGCATCGCCATATGACCACAATGTCACTCGGACCGCAATTATGTGATTCGATGTCACATGCCTTATTCGTTGGTATTTTATGTTGTAATAGTATGTTGCGGTTTTTTTTTATAGTGCCACAAGGTGTTTTATATGTCTAGATCCTAAAATTCCTGTCTAATTGACTGACTCATCTGATCCAGCACATCAATGTTATCTCTTTAATTTCGCAAATTCTTATCCGCTAACAGTATTCACGACGTATTTTTTTTATTGAGTGCAGCTGATGTTTTTGTGCAATCTTGCAGAAAACTAAATCGTAGCAGCCAATACGACCCCGACGGGACTCGAACCCGAAATCTTCTGATTCGAAGTCAGACGCCTTATCCATTAGGCCACGGAGTATTAAGTACATCTTCATCCTGTGCCATCTAATTTTTTTTACGAATTCCTATTTACCTGGATAATTGACTATGTCGTTGGGTTCTGCACATCCCCATATTTGCGAATTAGCATCTGGTGAATTTATTCTTGAAATAGTTGCATGTTTGGCTGTGACAGGTGTAGCAGTTCAATTTGCAGAACACACAATTATTGCGTCGCCATACGACCACGATGTGACTCGGACCGCAATTATGTGATTCGATGTCACATGCCTTATTCATTGGTATTTTATGTAATAGTGTTTTGCGTTTTTTTACAGTGCCACAAGGTGTTTTATGTCTAGATCGTAAAATTCCTGTCTAATTGACTGACTCATCTGATCCAGCACATCAATGTTATCTCTTTAATTTCGCAAATTCTTATCCGCTAACAGTATTCACGACGCATTTTTTTATTGAGTGCAGCTGGTGTTCTTGTGCAATCTTGCAGAAAACTAAATCGTAGCAGCCAATACGACCCGGACGGGACTCGAACCCGCAATCTTCTGATTCGAAGTCAGACGCCTTGTCCATTAGGCCACGGAGTTTTAAGTACATCTTCATCCTGTGCCATCTAATTTTTTTTACGAAGTCCTATTTACCTGGATAATTGAATATGTCTTTGGGTTCTGCACATCCCCATATTTGCGAATTAGCACCTGGTGAATTTATTCTTGAAATAGTTGCATGTTTGGCTGTGACAGGTGTAGCAGTTCAATTTTGCAGAACACACAATTATTGCGTCGCCATACGACCACGATGTGACTCGGACCGCAATTATGTGATTCGATGTCACATGCCTAATTCATTGGTATTTTATGTAATAGTGTTTTGCGTTTTTGTATAGTGCCACAAGGTGTTTTATGTCTCGATCCTAAAATTCCTGTCTAATTGACTGACTCATCTGATCCAGCACATCAATGTTATCTCTTTAATTTCGCAAATTCTTATCCGCTAACAGTATTCACGACGTATTTTTTTATTGAGTGCAGCTGGTGTTCTTGTGCAATCTTGCAGAAAACTAAATCGCAGCAGCCTATACGACCCCGACGGGACTCGAACCCGCAATCTTCTGATTCGAAGTCAGACGCCTTATCCATTAGGCCACGGAGTCTTAAGTACATCTTCATCCTGTGCCATCTAATTTTTTTACGAATTCCTATTTACCTGGATAATTGAATAAGTCGTTGGGTTCTGCATATCCCCATATTTGCGAATTTGCACCTGCTAAATTTATTCTTGAAATAGTTGCATGTTTGGCTGTGACAGGTGTAGCAGTTCAATTTTGCAGAACACACAATTATTGCATCGCCATATGACCACAATGTCACTCGGACCGCAATTATGTGATTCGATGTCACATGCCTTATTCGTTGGTATTTTATGTTGTAATAGTATTTTGCGTTTTTTTTTTATAGTGCCACAAGCTGTTTTATATGTCTAGATCCTAAAATTCCTGTCTAATTGACTGACTCATCTGATCCAGCACATCAATGTTATCTCTTTAATTTCGCAAATTCTTATCCGCTAACAGTATTCACGACGTATTTTTTTATTGAGTGCAGCTGGTGTTCTTGTGCAATCTTGCAGAAAACTAAATCGTAGCAGCCAATACGACCCCGACAGGACTCGAACCCGCAATCTTCTGATTTGAAGTCAGACGCCTTATCCATTAGGCCACGGAGTCTTAAGTACATCTTCATACTGTGCCATCTAATTTTTTTTACGAATTCCTATTTACCTGGATAATTGAATATGTCGTTGGGTTCTGCACATCCCCATATTTGCGAATTAGCACCTGGTGAATTTATTCTTGATCTAGATCCTAAAATTCCTGTCTAATTGACTGACTCATCTGATCCAGCACATCAATGTTATCTCTTTAATTTCACAAATTCTTATCCGCTAACAGTATTCACGACGTATTTTTTTATTGAGTGCAGCTGGTGTTCTTGTGCAATCTTGCAGAAAACTAAATCGTAGCAGCCAATACGACCCCGACAGGACTCGAACCCGCAATCTTCTGATTCGAAGTCAGACGCCTTATCCATTAGGCCACGGAGTCTTAAGTACATCTTCATACTGTGCCATCTAATTTTTTTTACGAATTCCTATTTACCTGGATAATTGAATATGTCGTTGGGTTCTGCACATCCCCATATTTGCGAATTAGCACCTGGTGAATTTATTCTTGATCTAGATCCTAAAATTCCTGTCTAATTGACTGACTCATCTGATCCAGCACATCAATGTTATCTCTTTAATTTCGCAAATTCTTATCCGCTAACAGTATTTACGACGTATTTTTTTATTGAGTGCAGCTGGTGTTCTTGTGCAATCTTGCAGAAAACTAAATCGTAGCAGCCAATACGACCCCGACAGGACTCGAACCCGCAATCTTCTGATTCGAAGTCGGACGCCTTATCCATTAGGCCACGGAGTCTTAAGTACATCTTCATACTGTGCCATCTAATTTTTTTTACGAATTCCTATTTACCTGGATAATTGAATATGTCGTTGGGTTCTGCACATCCCCATATTTGCGAATTAGCACCTGGTGAATTTATTCTTGAAATAGTTGCATGTTTGGCTGTGACAGGTGTAGCAGTTCAATTTTGCAGAACACACAATTATTGCGTCGCCATACGACCACGATCTGACTCGGACCGCAATTATGTGATTCGATGTCACATGCCTCATTCGTTGGTATTTTATGTAATAGTATTTTGCGTTTTTTTATAGTGCCACAAGGTGTTTTATGTCTAGATCCTAAAATTCCTGTCTAATTGACTGACTCATCTGATCCAGCACATCAATGTTATCTCTTTAATTTCGCAAATTCTTATCCGCTAACAGTATTTACGACGTATTTTTTTATTGAGTGCAGCTGGTGTTCTTGTGCAATCTTGCAGAAAACTAAATCGTAGCAGCAAATACGACCCCGACGGCACTCGAACGCGCAATCTTCTGATTCGAAGTCAGACGCCTTATCCATTAGGCCACGGAGTCTTAAGTACATCTTCATCCTGTGCCATCTAATTTTTTTACGAATTCCTATTTACCTGGATAATTGAATAAGTCGTTGGGTTCTGCACATCCCCATATTTGCGAATTTGCACCTGCTAAATTTATTCTTGAAATAGTTGCATGTTAGGCTGTGACAGGTGTAGCAGTTCAATTTTGCAGAACACACAATTATTGCATCGCCATATGACCACAATGTCACTCGGACCGCAATTATGTGATTCGTTGTCACATGCCTTATTCGTTGGTATTTTATGTAATAGTATTTTGCATTGTTTTTTTATAGTGCCACAAGGTGTTTTATATGTCTAGATCCTAAAATTCCTGTATAATTACTGACTCATCTGATCCAGCACATCAATGTTATCTCTTTAATTTCGCAAATTCTTATCCGCTAACAGTATTTATTAAGTGCAGCTGGTGTTCTTGTTCAATCTTGCAGAAAACTAAATCGTAGCAGCCAATACGACCCCGACGGGACTCGAACCCGCAATCTTCTGATTCGAAGTCAGACGCCTTATCCATTAGGCCAAGGAGTTTTAAGTACATTTTCATCCTGTGCCATCTAATTTTTTTTTACGAATTCCTATTTACCTGAATAATTGAATATGTCGTTGAGTTCTGCACATCCCCATATTTGCGAATTAGCACCTGGTGAATTTATTCTTGAAATAGTTGCATGTTTAGCTGTGACAGGTGTAGCAGTTCAATTTTGCGAACACACAATTATTGCGTCGCCATACGACCACGATGTGACTCGGACCGCAATTATGTGATTCGATGTCACATGCCTTAATCATTGGTATTTTATGTAATAGTATTTTGCGTTTTTTTTTATAGTGCCACAAGCTGTTTTATATGTCTAGATCCTAAAATTCCTGTCTAATTGACTGACTCATCTGATCCAGCACATCAATGTTATCTCTTTAATTTCGCAAATTCTTATCCGCTAACAGTATTCACGACGTATTTTTTTATTGAGTGCAGCTGATGTTCTTGTGCAATCTTGCAGAAAACTAAATCGTAGCAGCCAATACGACCCCGACGGGACTCGAATCCGAAATCTTCTGATTTGAAGTCAGACGCCTTATCCATTAGGCCACGGAGTATTAAGTACATCTTCACCCTGTGCCATCTATTTTTTTTTACGAATTCCTATTTACCTGGATAATTGAATATGTCGTTGGGTTCTGCACATCCCCATATTTGCGAATTAGCATCTGGTGAATTTATTCTTGAAATAGTTGCATGTTTGGCTGTGACAGGTGTAGCAGTTCAATTTTGCAGAACACACAATTATTGCGTCGCCATACGACCACGATGTGACTCGGACCGCAATTATGTGATTCGATGTCACATGCCTTAATCATTGGTATTTTATGTAATAGTGTTTTGCGTTTTTTTATAGTGCCACAAGGTGTTTTATGTCTAGATCCTAAAATTCCTGTCTAATTGACTGCCTCATCTGATCCAGCACATCAATGTTATCTCTTTAATTTCGCAAATTCTTATCCGCTAACAGTATTCACGACGTATTTTTTTATTGAGTGCAGCTGATGTTCTTGTGCAATCTTGCAGAAAACTAAATCGTAGCAGCCAATACGACCCCGACGGGACTCGAATCCGAAATCTTCTGATTTGAAGTCAGACGCCTTATCCATTAGGCCACGGAGTATTAAGTACATCTTCATCCTGTGCCATCTATTTTTTTTTACGAATTCCTATTTACCTGGATAATTGAATATGTCGTTGGGTTCTGCACATCCCCATATTTGCGAATTAGCATCTGGTGAATTTATTCTTGAAATAGTTGCATGTTTGGCTGTGACAGGTGTAGCAGTTCAATTTTGCAGAACACACAATTATTGCGTCGCCATACGACCACGATGTGACTCGGACCGCAATTATGTGATTCGATGTCACATGCCTTAATCATTGGTATTTTATGTAATAGTGTTTTGCGTTTTTTTATAGTGCCACAAGGTGTTTTATGTCTAGATCCTAAAATTCCTGTCTAATTGACTGCCTCATCTGATCCAGCACATCAATGTTATCTCTTTAATTTCGCAAATTCTTATCCGCTAACAGTATTTACGACGTATTTTTTTATTGAGTGCAGCTGGTGTTCTTGTGCAATCTTCCAGAAAACTAAATCGTAGCAGCCAATACGACCCCGACAGGACTTGAACCCGCAATCTTCTGATTCGAAGTCAGACGCCTTATCCATTAGGCCACGGAGTCTTAAGTACATCTTCATACTGTGCCATCTAATTTTTTTTACGAATTCCTATTTACCTGGATAATTGAATATGTCGTTGGGTTCTGCACATCCCCATATTAGCGAATTAGCACCTGGTGAATTTATTCTTGAAATAGTTGCATGTTTGGCTGTGACAGGTGTAGCAGTTCAATTTTGCAGAACACACAATTATTGCGTCGCCATACGACCACGATGTGACTCGGACCGCAATTATGTGATTCGATGTCACATGCTTTATTCATTGGTATTTTATGTAATAGTGTTTTGCGTTTTTTATAGTGCCACAAGGTGTTTTATGTCTAGAATCCTAAAATTCCTGTATAATTTACTGACTCATCTGATCCAGCACATCAATGTTATCTCTTTAATTTCGCAAATTCTTATCCGCTAACAGTATTTATTAAGTGCAGCTGGTGTTCTTGTGCAATCTTGCAGAAAACTAAATCGTAGCAGCCCATATGACCCCGACGGGACTCGAACCCGCAATCTTCTGATTCGAAGTCAGACGCCTTATCCATTAGGCCACGGAGTCTTAAGTACATCTTCATCCTGTGCCATCTAATTTTTTTACGAATTCCTATTTACCTGGATAATTGAATAAGTCGTTGGGTTCTGCACATCCCCATATTTGCGAATTTGCACCTGCTAAATTTATTCTTGAAATAGTTGCATGTTTGGCTGTGACAGGTGTAGCAGTTCAATTTTGCAGAACACACAATTATTGCATCACCATATGACCACAATGTCACTCGGACCGCAATTATGTGATTCGATGTCACATGCCTTATTCGTTGGTATTTTATGTAATAGTATTTTGCGTTTTTGTTTATAGTGCCACAAGGTGTTTTATATGTCTAGATCCTAAAATTCCTGTATAATTTACTGACTCATCTGATCCAGCACATCAATGTTATCTCTTTAATTTCGCAAATTCTTATCCGCTAACAGTATTTATTAAGTGCAGCTGGTGTTCTTGTGCAATCTTGCAGAAAACTAAATCGTAGCAGCCAATACGACCCCGACAGGGACTCGAACCCGCAATCTTCTGATTCGAAGTCAGACGCCTTATCCATTAGACCACGGAGTCTTAAGTACATCTTCGTCCTGTGCCATCTAATTTTTTTTACGAATTCCTATTTACCTGAATAATTGAATATGTCGTTGAGTTCTGCACATCCCCATATTTGCGAATTAGCACCTGGTGAATTTATTCTTGAAATAGTTGCATGTTTAGCTGTGACAGGTGTAGCAGTTCAATTTTGCAGAACACACAATTATTGCGTCGCTATACGACCACGATGTGACTCGGACCGCAATTATGTGATTCGATGTCACATGCCTTATTCATTGGTATTTTATGTAATAGTGTTTTCGTATTTTTTATAGTGCCACAAGGTGTTTTA